TAGTCTCTTCAAATAAGTGACCTAATGGACCAAAAGCCCTATTCTTTTACACATGGCTAGCCTATAGGTTTATTGGGCTTTCAAGCCCTTTGTTTTATTCAAGTTGTCATACAACTTGAGTTAATGGGCTTGACATTCAAATCTCATTGGGCCTTGCGGCCCAAAACTAACCCGAGGTCTTTAACGAACTTATTCGTTTGATTAATTAACATATTAATTAATCCTAGCCTTAGATAAATAATTAAACCATTTAATTATTCTTACTCATCTCCGTTGTTTCTTCAAACTCTACCTTACACGGTGTACGATCCATTAGGTTCCTTTTAGCGAGGCAGTGGGCGATTCAAACTCTTTCAAATCGATTGTGAATTGAAACTTACTTTCAATTCTCCCGTTAGTGATAATACACTTTTAGGGCTTCCACAAACCATGAGTGACACCTAGCAGCATATCATGGTTACCCAAGCTAATCAGAAGAGGTGGAGAACCTATTCAGTTTAGGATTACAAATGCAATACGGTCTTTCTCTAATACAATACTCTTGACCACATTGTTTGGTTTGATAGTTTATTCATGTCTACTATCCAATGTGAATCTTGTACTTATATGATTACCTTGAATGTGATCTGGAACGCATTCCAACATCTCATTCATACTCTGGCCAGAGATTCTAAATCATATCATAGAGTATTCTCCCTCAAACAGTTTGAAGGTTAGAGATCCCTTGTTGCGCATTCACTTGCCTCCATGGCTAAGTGGCTTAACCCCAACGATGCCGTGGACACCCTGATAGAGTGATGTTGACATAATCAAAGATTAAGGACCTAACCACAAGACAACTGTGATGCCTCAGGTCAAAAGACTAATTTGCATTATCCCAACCATGAGTTCTCATGTGACATGAATATGAGAACTCTTCGTTGATCGTGTTCAGTGAACTCATTCTCTATTGAGCACCTACGTACTTGTCTTGATGTCACACACACCAATGACTCGAGACTAGTCACTCTCCCTGAGAGAAGACATAGCACGTACTGATCTTAACGGACTGTCAATGCCCAATTGACAATCCTATGATCAGGAACGTTTAGGATGTGTCAACGAAAGAATGGTCTCATGAATCTAACTTCTTTAGATCGCATTCTTCCAATCACATATTCCTTGGACTTATCGTTTAAGCATATAACATTTATATTAAACGGCTCAAACAATAATCTTTGCCCTTTACATTTAAACTACATTAGTTTGAAATGAACTACATTAGTTTGAAATGTCCGTAAAGTATCATCATATGATTGGTTTTAGGGCACATTTCCAACAAGCTCATCCGAGACGATGTCATTGAGCCACTTCTGCTCGAGGTCAACCAAATCTACCATCTGGCTTGCCCTGCCTCCCCTGTCCATCCTCTTGAGGAGGAGCTTTTTGATTTTTCTAGGGCTTCGACGGCGGCGAGGGGGAAAATGTGGCTGGCGCAGCGAGGGGGCCGATCTACTCGACTCACTTTCTGCCACAATCCCATTCTGGCTACCCCAATTACCCAACATCTCATCAAGATCGAAATCCCCGACCTCAAACTCGTCAGACATGTTGCCGTTCTCGTCTACGATGCAGAACCCTGGACCAGATCAGGCGACGACAAAGAGGGAGGATGCGGAAGCAGTAGAGGTGGAGCTAGGGTTTCGTTTATGAGGGCAGAGAGGTTGAAAGGCTTGTCAAGATTGGACGAGGCGAAGACTGCGGAGCATGCTCGACGTGTGGTGGTGATGAAGAAGAGTAGCTACTGTGACCCATCGGACCAGTGCTTCCCAAGGTAGAAGAATGTGACCGCTATCATCACAGATCCCCAAATTTTTAGGTAATTAATATGATTTAATTTAATTTAATTGGGTGGAATTGGAAACGAAGAACACTTAGAAAAGAAATGCTGCATTTTGGTGGGTTGAGGAATCGGAATTGGGATGGTCTGAAAGGGGTAAGGATCTGGAGGTTGAGTGCGGATGTGCGTGGCCGAGGAAGAAGAAGTCGGTAAAGTTTTTTTTTTTTTGAATTTTTTTTTTAACCCCTTCTCCAAAAAAAAAAATTCACGTTGAACCCTTAATGACACGTGGCGCCTAGTCATTGTTCACATAAGCGTTACATCATCAGTTAACGATAGACTTAACAATTTGACTAACGGATGTATGAGACTATTCCAAAATTAACACTTTAGGTACTAAATGTTGAAAACCACGAAACATGAGGGTAGTAAACTGATATTTACCCTAAATTTTTTGTTTGAGTACGTGATTTTGATTCACAATGTAAATAATTTACATGTATATGGGCATGTTATGCATGACAAAATCTTTTATGAGACAATTTTACATCGTGTAGGATACGTGATATAAGAGATATATAAAAAAAACACCGTGGCAATGAGACTATGAGAGTAGACAAAAAATCTATGAAACCTTTACAAGGATCCTTTTTCTGAGGATCTTAGGGATTCCGTGATCGAGACAATCCATCGTATATCGTGCGGTTAATTTTCGTTAAGTACTATTTATATTTAATTTTAAATTTTAAATTTTAAAATGATTTTTTATCGCACAATATACGATGAACAATCACGATAATAAGATTCCTAGAATTCTCAAAAAAAAAAATTAAAAAAAAGGATCCGCGAGGATCCTTTTCATTTCCAAGGTAGTTTATATGGTTATGCTGCCAATAATATTTGGCGGGGAACTCAAAAATTGGGTCAAAGCAGATGTCGAAAAACCAACAGACCAAACTGGTTATCGAATCAAATAAGTAGAAGCTCTCCTCTCCCTCTCCCTCTCCAGTTGTCATCACAACTTGCAAGAAAAGCATCTGCAGTAGAAGCAGGAGCAGTTCATCAATCTCATGTCAAATAAGTAACGTCCTGAAAATTATTTTGATGATACGAAATATAACATGACATGACATGACATTAAAACGACCTCGTTTGCCTCGTATGCCTGAACAGAGATTAACTATGAAGGAAATGAATCGCCATTACTGATCAGTCCAAAGCACTTTTGGTTTTTTAAATTTAGACACCAGTTTCATGCTGATATGTCTGTCTTCACAGCAAACGAAAAAGAAAGAAGAAACTGTGGGATTGGATCAGTCCAAAGCACTTTTGGTTTTTTAAATTTAGACACCAGTTTCATACTGATATGTCTGTCTTCACAGCAAACAAAAAAGAAAGAAAAAACTGTGGGATTGGATGAGACTAGGGTTTTTGTTTGTTGTTGGGCTGGTGACAGGTTGGTTCAGATGGGGTCCTTGTCTATCGAACAACTGTATACCATATGAAAATTTTGAACGGTTAGGATTGATTGGACTGTTAAGTGAGTGAGAATGCTGAATGTGTAGGGTTTTGGCTTTGGTACGATGGGTCACACATCCATCCATCACGAATGAATTCCAGAAATGAGAAGCACATCAGAGGGTTCCACGCATAAGGTGAGAGTATCTTCCCACTGTCAGATTACAGGTGGTACGATTTTGCTACCGGAATCCCCAAACGCTCGATGACAGATCTTAGCTGTTGATACATTGTCCGATTCGTAGGCAAATTTGACTTGTTAATGCATTAGCTCCAGAAAAATAATTAACTTGCATCAACGATTGACCATACCTTATTTAATTGTTAATAATAGAAGATTTGTCACTCATGGCAACCGCCGAAATGTATATTGATGCATTGTGCAATTTGTAAGCAAATTTTAGTCGTTAATACGCTTTAAGTTTCTTAGTAACAATCAAAATTATTATTATCACGTACATAAACAACTGACCGTAGCATACTTTAAAATCTTATTAGTAAAATACTCGTTGCTCTAACTTTACCGTGGATGTATGATAATACAATAGGAAAATGCAAGTGGTCAAAGAAACTATATACAAGATTAGATTTGATGATTTTGTAATATCACTAGTAGTTGATATTTTGAGGGGAATGATGCTTAGAAAGTAGATTTAAGAGATGCGGACCTTATATCTAAGGACATTTGATTGTGTATTTATTTAAGTAAATGAACTGATTTGTAGACAAAAAGTAAGTACGTAAATAATACACATTCAGATCAAGTGTACTGTCTAAACGTGAGCTGAATATAAAGTTTATAAACCCTAGTAGTAAAGAACAAGGTGAACTGGTGAACACCCCTCGAAACAGCAAACTACAAAAGCACAACACTTAAGTAACTTTTCGGCTACTTTGGATAGTAGACATGGCTTATAGCGACGTTCACTGACCAATATTCAATATACAATCAAGTTATTTATTTATGGTTTAGTGTTATTACTCTTCCCAATGTTAGATCATTTTCAACTTATGAGATAAAACTTAATATATAAGTTCTAAATTCTCCCCCCAAACCATCTCCAACTATTGAGCTAAAATAAGCCTTGAGGAAAAAATATGTCTTTGAGCTAGATTCTTCCCCCAAGAAATTGAGCTTGGCTTAAATTATTCTGGACTCATCAAACTGTTGTATTTAAAAAAAAAAATTGTCTTTTACTTATAATCCAATGGCTATGATCAAATGAGATCAAATCTAACATTTAAAAAGAAAAAGATTTGACGGCGCGAAACTAAATCTAACGTCTAAAGTAATTTAAAAAACTTATTTATATCAAATTTCACTTAAAACTTTATAAATACCTATGTATTTGTTTGATTTTTAATTACTTATCGGGATTTAAATAACTTTGGGTCAAAATATTCATAAAAATAAATTAGGTAATCTACATAAATTTTATTTTCAAAAAAAATATGCTAAAATGTTATTTAATAATCTTAGAATTAAAATTTTAAGCCATAACAATTGGATGAGAAAAGCAGTTTTTGGGTTATGGCTTAACATTTTCTGCCTTAAATTTTTAAGCTTGATTTCCAAGGGTTGGAGATCGTCTTAAAAAAGATATCAAATATTAGTCCTGAGCGATATTAATGGAAGAGAAATTAAAAAAAAACCCATACAACATGCTTAAAATTATATACAATATAGAGAGAAAAAATATTAACTGATAGAGAGAAAAAAGGATAAAATCAAAACAGACTCTTGCCTTTGGCCTTGACGCCATCGGTGACAATCTTTCTTCCCCTCTAGTTACTTCAATCTTCTAACCATCTCCACCTCCTAATTGTGGTTGCTCTTTTTGGCTATGTTGAGGGGAGAGCCCTCATGGTTGTTGTCACTCTCTTGCTCTGGTGAGGAAAGCTTTGCTGTAGTGGTCATGGATTACTGCTCAACTCCAAACGTTAAAGCAACGATCGTTATTCTTGTATAATTGGCAAGACTTTGAGGAGAAAAACCAAGACATACCTAAAGTGCCTTATAACAATGCTTCTCTTTCAACGATTGTAAGATTATCAGAATCTTTGCCTTGTGGTGGTGCAGTGTGATATAATTCACTGGCTTGCAAGGTTTAATCCTTCGAATTATTTTCTCGTTTGTTGGATATAGATGTACTTTGGTGTTCATTTTGACATGGGTAGCTTTTTAGTTTTGTTCTTGAGATATAACATATGAGTTTTGCAGGACAAAGTTTACTCTGAGATTCACGTTTAACATGCCTAATTTATATATGTTCTTGATTATTCATAATCAAGTTCCATTTGATCACGAAAACCATATACAATGCTAAATATCCTGGTTGTCCATACAAATCCCTAAGCCCGAGTCCACCAATTATTCACTTGGGCCTCCTACAAAAAAGGTCTGAAGGCTGCCATGCCAAGCCCAAACAAATAAAGAGGTATCTTACTTTCACGAAACAAACAAAAAGAAGAACAAGAATTCTTTGGTTCCTTCACTTGACCTACGCGTTAACACTTCAACTTTGTTTAGCCAATTGCTTCAATATGTATTTTTGGAAAAATTATGTTTTCATCCCTTATATTCCTATTCATTGATTGAAACTTTTTTTTTAATTTTTTATAAGGCCTGTTGGGGCCCAAAAATGATACATGCAAACTCAATTAAGTCTCAAAGCCTAATTGTCATACAAGCCCCAAGGCATGTCTAAAAGCATGCAAAGGTGCATAATTTAGAAAGGAGGGTTTCCATAGTAATGCCATGCAATGATAAAACAGACTATTTGCATTAATCACCCCATGCTTATGCAAGTCCATGCATATTCGTCACTCTCACTAAAATAAGCTCAAATCACATGCTTGGGGCTTGCCAAGTGAATTGTGGTGTGAATGATTACGGAAGTTTATCAGGCCTACGAAGAGTCAAGGTTATAAAAGACTTTGGGCTGCTTGGGGCCGCAAAGATCCAAGCCCATAATCTTCAAAGTTCACGTGGGTGAGTTTGAGGGATAACAAACCTAGTTTCCTTCTTTCCCTAGCAAGCTAACCAATCTAGTTAGGAAGGAACCAAACCCTAAGTCTTAAGTTCGTGTGAAAGCCCAGCAAAGCATGCATTTAATGAAGAGAAAGGTTGCATTTCCCTTCCTAGCTCACGCAGAAAAATGATGCATGAAAGTCAGGAGATGCATTATCAAAAGAAATCAGCACCTTGGGAAGGAGGTGCAGCACAATAACGCTCATCTGTATTATATTACTAAGGAAGGTCACAGATGTAGCCATAATTAAAGATTCTCTAGGAAGCCTGGAAAGGCATCATTCACCTACAAAAAGGGAGAATACAAGATACAAAGGGGATCATTATGACAAGGTAGAGAGAATAATAGAACATAAAGAACGTGAGAAGAGATTCAAGGTTGTACTACACCAAGTTAGGAAAATCACTTCCTAAGTGCAAACAATTTTGGACCTTCGGGAGAACCATCTTCCTGCAACCTTAGAGCTTTCCCTAACCTTCCCTCAATCCTTTCAGTTAGCAGAAGCCTTCTTAGAACCCTAGGAAACCCAGGTTACCCAACCTAGAACTCCATGCAACCATGCAAACTCTCTCTTATGCTAAACTGATAAGCTTCTAGTTTCCACACCATGCCTCACTTGAGCTAGCCAATATTTTCTTAATCATGCTATATTTGAGTCATTGATCTAACCGAAATATTTCCTAAGAAGTGCTAATTCTTTTGAGATATTCCAAGATTTGGTACGAGAGCGAACCAAGGGAGGCAAGAGGATACTTGCAAAGCCCAAATCCATCTCGACCTTAAAGTCTCTCAACAAGGTCATTTGGTTTTTATCTACGTCTTATTTCAATAATAAATAATTTACATATCAACATATTTAAAAGTTATTTAATCATTTCCAAATATTTCCTTTTAGCTTTACGGTCCTCCCTCGAATATTTTAAACTTTATGTTCTGCATTTGCCCATAAATATACCTAAACTTTTATTCATACTTATAAAAAAAAAATTCTTTTAATTGTACCAATAATTTATTTACTACATACCAGTTTATATATTTATAGTGTAACAGAGCTTAGAGACAAAAAAATTTACTATATTTCAAGGAACTCCACTAGTTTTTAAACATGTCAAGAAGAGACAAAAACATAAAAACAACTAAAGTCCAGCCCAAAAATATGGAACTAATATTTTAAAATACCAACATACCCATAAGGCTTTAGGAACCCATTCCTCACAACTCCAAACAAAATTAATATGTGCCAAAAACTCAACTCATCCTCGGATATTTGTGCTAGAATCAGTTTTGTATCATTTATTACTAGAATCAGTTCAACCCGTCATCAACTATTTTTGAAGAATCAATTCAACTCATCCTCGGACCATTTTTATAGAATTAGCTCAATCCATCTTTGACCATTTATGTAGAATCAGTTCAAACCATCTTCGATTATTTTTCCAGAATCAGTTCAACCAGTCATCGACCACTTTTGCAAAATCAGTTCAACCTGTTTTGGACCAATTTTCTAGAATCAGCGCAATCCATCATCAACCATTTTTGCAAAATCAGTTCAACCTGTTTTTGACTAGTTTTCTAGAATTAGCGCAACCCGTCATTGACCATTTTTGCAGAATCAGTTCAACCCATCGTTGACTATTTTTGCATAATCAGTTCAAAATGTCTTCAACCATTTTTGTAGAATCTGTTTAACTCGTCCTCCATCATTTTTACAGAATCAGTTTATCCCGTCGTCGATTATTTTTGCAAAATTAGTTCACTCTTTCCTCAACTATTTTTGCATAATCAGTTCAACATGTCTTCAACCATTTTTGCAGAATCAATTTAACTCGTCCTCCACCATTTTTACAGAATTAGTTTATCCCGTTGTTGACCATTTTTACGAAATTAGTTCATCCCGTCCTCGACCATTTTTGAAAAATCAGTTCAATCCGTACACAATCATTTTTGCAGAATTAGTTCAACCTGTCTTCAATTATTTATGTAGAATCAGTTTCAAATACATGTGGAATCAGTTTTGTAGTACTTTTTTAGTAGAATCATATGTCACCATGCCTATGTGTGGACATTTGTTGTCATCCATTTAAAAACTCACCTATACACCAGCTACAATTTTCAAACTTACTCAACCTAGTATTGTTCTTAATATTAGTAATTTAATAAAGTTGGTTACTTTTTTATTTTAATTTTATAGCTAGTGAGTTGTGAATTTGGGATTCAATTCGACATTGGACAGACTAATACATAAGAAAATAATAACAAAAAACCAATATTATCTTGAAAAGTTAAAAAAATTTCAACCATTTTGATCACAAGTATCAACAACAGAGGAACCAAATTATCAAAGAAGTTTCTTTTAGATTGTGACTATAAAACCACACCATTTATTGGATCTCTGTACAATGCATATTGCCTGAATAGTGACCCAAATGAAGATAAATTATTCTAGGTTCTGGGCTCATTTGCTAACCTGGAGTCCACCAACCATAACTTAACACCTATTCATTTTTAACACCAACCCACTGCTTAAAGAAGGAAAAAAAAAGAAGCATTTTGGGGTTTGCGCCTCACTAGTCTCTCCTTCCTCTCCTTATCTGGGAAACTGAAATAACAAGAAAGTTTTTTGCATTTACATTATTCAAAATCTATTTGATTTTAGAAGTATGCCGTCTCTTTCAAATCACATTTCAATTGGGCATACATGGCTAGAGAAAAAGAAGCACAAGATACCAAATTCATATTTCAATATGATGACTGAGTTTCAGGTGGATGTTTAGGGTGGTGGGCGTGATGTGATTGTCGGGTAGAGGGCATCAATATCAAGTGGGTGACCTGCGAAGTGGCAGTGGCAAACGTTTGGATGTAGGTGGTGGTGATGTTTTTGGTTGGAGATTGCTTGGTTGACGGTTGCCGTTTGTATGCAGTGGTGATTTTTACCCCTTTAGTTTCCTAGAGAAAGGAGAGAGGGAGAAGAGATCGGGGGCCAACCCCAATATGTTTTATTTTACAATTCTAAATGGTGAGTTGTGTGGAAAATGACAATGTCAATTTATAGGTGGTGGAATTCCAGGTCTACTAGTGAGCCGGATGAATTGGAACCAATATTTCTTAAAAGAAGAGAGAGAATGGAGCAATATATGAAGAGGAAAAAAAGGTAATTTTGTGACTTACACTTTAGAGGAAAAACAGCGGCAATGATGTCATATTTCATATATATTAACTTTTGTCTCTCTTGTAATATTTAAAAAATGTTGTCTCAGTATACAATTAAGTATTAAAAGTATACTCTATGCGTATTTTTTTCATTTTGTTAATGTAACATCTATTCACTATTTTTTAGATATAATGTACCATATTTTATAATAAAATGTTCCGTTTTTCACACATAAAAATTTGAGGAAAAATAAAATAAAATTTGCTATTTGGCATTAATCATTGCATGATTTTAGGGATGAAGTTACTTTCGTTGTATCGCTGTGTCCTTCAATCAAAGTATTCAAATTAACAAGATTTCAGTATCGGATTTTGATAAACCAAGGACCAGCACCAAAAGTTCTTGTGGTAATATGAAAATAAGTAACTGCAGTTTGACCTCTTGAACTAAAATGCCGACTGACATTGACCCAGCTATTCTTTTGGTGAATTAAGGATATTAACTTTTCAAAATTGACCAATTCACCCTTCACCGTCAGATTTGACCCCTTCAACAGCCTGAGTCATAATGAACTCATTGCATAACAGAGGTGTGAAAAAAACAATGAATATTTATTGCCCGCCAAAGACCTTTCATCCAACTTTTTACTCGAAATCAGCAGCATCCACCACCACCCCCACCCCTTTTGAGGAAAAAAATGAATACGAATTGATAAACCAGAAACAAAGAACTTTACTCAAGTTGCGGTTCACAAGGGACTTGCCCAAAAATATCAGGACATGAATCCCAATTTCCTTGTTCCCTTGCCTCCCAATATCCACCGATGTAGCGGTATGTGTCGCTTCCTTTATCCTTTGCGAACCACTGCGGTTTCCAACCCTGCTCTTGCATCTTCCGAGCCTGAATTCGAAATCAAAGCAGCATCCCATCAATTACCATAGACCAATAAAATACGTTTGAAGAAAGGAAACCGTAACTGAAGCTACAGAAAGGTCCGACCGGTTTGCCTAAGAATGCCATTGTTGCAAGAAACTTAAACGGTTCATTTACGTGCCTTTTCTCATAGAGAATGCAATATTACCTGCCGCTGTCTCTGTTCTAGCCTCAACTTCTCTGCATTTGCCATTTCATACTCCCCATTTTCCAAATACCTTTGATCGGGTCTGAGCCTTGAATCTGTAGGGGGCAACTTCTCCTGCACGAGATTACACTGAAAAATCAAAATCTGCTAGCGGTTCATCGTTTCAAACAGTAATTTTCATACCAGTAATATCTAGATAAGACGGATCAAACCACGGAATAAACTATCAAATAATCACCTTCAGTCCAGGTGTGAGTTCATTCAGCGTGATGGCAAAGCGTGTTAAGTTATATCTAGTTGGAAATTTGGGTGGCTTGTTCCTCCTCCAGAGCAGGCGGGCATCAGATAAAGAGTCGGAACCTTTTCCCTTCCCTGAACAGTCTCCTAAAATATAGTGCATGCTCTCATCCCATTTGCCAACCAATGTTGCAGCCGTTTTCCCATTCTTATCTTGAACTATACCATGTACCTAACAGAAAAAAATGAAAAACAGAAAAGTAACTAAAAGATACTATTAACAAATAAATAGCTACTCCTAAACAGATTTTATTCTTGATTTTCAATATTTTATAAGTAAACATGCCAAGTATTTCGGTGTGAAGAAATGCGATAAAAATGGCATGAACTGCAAAATGTCTACGTATCTTTCCCCACTTAATAAGCAAAAATAAAGAACAGGACTGTCTGACAACTAATAATAAGAAGGCAAATATTAATCCTTTCTCCTTTCTAAATAGTGTGGTTCTCACCTACCAAATTTGGCAATTGTGAAATCCGGGTTCTCTTCCAAAAATTTCCGACGGTGTTTCTATTAATTTTTTTTCCTTCCCAGCATAAAATCATAACATTACACACCATTCTCCTCTATTTTGAAAAAAAAAATAAATAAATAAAAAAATACTGCCTTCTAAAACCCAATTCATGATGTAAACAAGCTAACTCAATGGTCAACACAAAACCTCTACTAAGAAAGTTATTGTACATAAAAACCATTTGGAAATCAAGTTTTCTATGGAGATTCAATAGTTGGTTGAAATAGCATGAGCTAGAAGCAACACTGTCTTCTCAACGTCAATAAAAAAGTGTTTAGTGCAGAGACCAGCAACTTAGATGAAATAAAAATTGATAAAAGAAAATAGTACCTGGTGAGGATTTCGGTCAATGATAGACTGCTCCTTAAATTTCAGCTTACATGAATATTCATGCTTCCCTTGTATTCGCATTGTCCCATAGTGATCACAGTAAAGCTTTCCCAAGATAAGGTTGTAAATGGACGTTGTAACCTGGCCAGAGAGTTCATTTTTAAACATGACTTCAGAAAATAATGAACAATAGCTGAGTGGGGCAGGTTCGTACTTTACTCCATTGAAGAACTTCCCCATCATCAAATTCCAAGGTCAGGACACCAACAGGGTCAAGCTGAATCGAGCGACCCCAGAATTTGCTCTTCAAATTGCTGTCTCCCCAGAATTTCCATCCTTGACCCTCGCAGTGGCAAGCAATAGTCATTGGGTGATGACTAACCTGACACCCAAAAATAAGAATTTTAACTGTGTGACACATAGTAGAAAAAGACCAATAACAATATTGTCAGCGTTTTCAAATCGATAAATATAGACCATAATGAAAGAAGCCATATACTTAACTGCTTCCCTGTGTTTTATATAGTTACTTTAGTTACCTATTGAGAAATCAGCCTGCCCGGGGAGCTTCAAACTTCCAAATCTCAATGACTAGATGTTTTTAGATTCATTTCAAACAAATATTTTATAGATATCATATTTTATGAAACATCCAATTAAAACCTTTTTATCACAAGCTTCGTTGCATGACAATACTTCTCTGCCCTCGAATCAGATTAAGGGTTCAAAATGCATTGCTCAACTATGAGCAAACAGTGACATTGAATTTAATATTCAATGTTTTCATTGCACACGTAAAAACCATTTGAGCTACTTGATAAATGCACCACTCAATTTGAAGAGATAAATCTTGCAATTCTCAGAACTTAATTACTAGTCAAATGCAGAACAAAAGGTCTACACAAGAATAGTGTATGCAATGGATTCAGGTCTGAAGAAATTTTCACACCTTCTCTGAGAAGAACCGGAGGCCTTTGTCTGGATAGTCAGCCTCGTATGTTTCCCCTAATAATGGGTTGAATGGCTTGCAATTTCTTCCTTCAGTTGATGCATATCCAGACACAGCAAAAGCAGCCACATTAAGTATCCTCATAAGGCTATTACCCTGCAGGGCTTAAAGGAAACTCAAATAAGTCATGACAGCACTGAGATGATAAAACTCATTTAAGGAAGAGACTTTTAACAGCATTGCAAGGAGGTTGGCTTTGAGGTCTTACCCTTTTACCCCATTCATATGCTCGATCAATGAGATACGAGTATTCCAAATCCTCAAAACCCTTTTGTAGAGTAGATAGAGGCTCGTTAAAGTATACAGGAAGACATATTTTTGTGAGATCCTTCCCAATGTTATCCTTAATCATTGACCAAAGACTAACACTCTTCTCTTTTTCAACAGGGTCAGGCAACTTCTTACGGCGCTTGACAAGAGGAAAGTTAGTTCCAACGGTTCTCATGGATGGATCAAGACCATCTTCTGGTTCAATGGCATTTATCCTTTCATCGTCTGAAGACATGGATGATATCCGATACTCAGACCCATTACTTTTAAAAGAACTTGATGATAGGAAATCGCGAGTATCAAAGAAAGCATTGTCCTCTTCATCTGTTTCTTCCTCAACTCTTTCATTATCCTCATCCGATTCACTTGCACTCCCTTCTGAAATGGTAATATCAATGCAGGACTAAATTAGCAAAAAGTATCATGATGGAATACACCATTTCACATACACGCATAACAGAAATAGGTGATGTTAACCTTCTACTAAATGCATACCACTGAATTTGTCTTGCCTTGATCTAGAGGAAGACCCGGAATCTTTCAAGTGTCGGCTCTCATCTACCACTGTATTCTCCAAATCTACCTTTTCTGTCTACAAAAAACAGTACCAATATCAGTTTATCAGCAAGACACAATTAAGTAAATGATGAGCCAAAATCCCTGCACCAGAAGTTAAAACTCTTACGGAAACAACCTTCTGTACAAACACAAGATACCTCATATAAAATATTGCTTAATACACATTAGCGAAATGGTCAGCACTGTACAATTAGGTTGCATCCTTCTTTTGGTATCTAGTATGCCATCAGTCCACCACTCTTTCCATTAGGTAATAATAATAAATTCCTCATTCAATTCAATTTATCCCTTTTTTTAACAGACAAAAAGGCAAAAAAAAAAAAAAAAAAAAAAAAAAAAAAAAATCTAGCGTGAGTAGTTAGTTGAGTGAGGGCCTACGTACAGATGCCCTTTTTAAGGAGTACATGGGGTAGTTTTTCTGGTGCTAACATTATGAAAACAGGGTATGGGGAAGTGGGTTAATCTATAAGGCATTCTGAATGTGAAAGCACTTTTTAGTTCTCGAACATTTTGTTGCTCAAACCGAAGGAAGTCAAGCCTCACAACTCAATCAGGAACATTAGTCAGTCACGACCTAAGGATCGACAGAGATGGGGACTAGCGTTCACAGACTACCCTTCAAGGTACATATTTCCACCTGGAAGAAAATCAGAACTGCAGACATTAGAGAATTTAAACCATCCCGGATAACCTAATTCCTTAAAATAGTTTGACCTTCCAGATTTCATAAAAAAGAGGTGGAAAGTGGAGGTAAGATTACAATGTGTTCTAGTAGAAACCCCACAAAGAAAGGCGCAGTCTTTTTTCTTTTCTTTTTGGTTGCACAAAGGTGTAGGTAGTCTTTCAACACATCAATTTTATATGATCCGCATGCAAATGCAGCTCATGAATTCCTGTTTTCCCATGAAATCAACTTATTCCATACCACCCACAAACCCATTTAAGAGTTATGGCATCACCTCGGATCATAAAAACAAAATTATATTTTTATGGACAAGATATCACAGAGAAAAACAAGAAAATGCGGATACCAATTAACATTCTGGTTACCCTAAATAAAATTAGTCTTCAACAATCACTAAAGTTGGTGCTTTCAGCAATAACAAAAGAACACCCACATTAAGGTGGCCGTAGAATCCTAAACACTGCATATTTAACCTCCACAAACCCATATATACCCTATTATCACTGTAATTTTGGAATGATACTACTACTACCTGTTTTGAAAAAAAAATTCCATCAGTCCTTCAATACATATCACATTAACCATACCCCAAGAAAATCCTCAAGGAAAAAACCTGAGGCCTTATGCAGAAAACTCCCAGCCCACATCAATATTCTGACACAATCTAGAAAATATAGAATTAGAATCAACCAACTTTTAGTCATTTCGATAGTTTTCTTACCATTCCATAAGAGTATGGAAAACTAAACATAAATAGTCTGGTTTGTGCATGATTAATGTCATCTTTTAATCAAGTGATATTGCATGATCCTTTATAGTTTCCTTCAATTAACGAACAATCTAACACTCAACTCACTCAAGCTAAAGGATCAGACGAACACAATTAACAAAATTGATTATGTTCAGAATTATAATTTACAAAAGTTAAGAGGAAGGAAAAAGAGCCTCATCTCCCACAAGCTGAAACACACAATAACCAAACAGCCCCCTAGCAAATTACTTGGCAGGTTTAAGAAAATTAGAATTTCTGCATTGAAGTTAACCAAAGAAGAATACTCCGAATGTCAACAGGCATAAGGTCTCCATACCTCTAACTGTCGCAGTGTGTCCATTAGGAGCCACTGCTTCTGCTTGAGCAGCAGGAGCTGGTTCTGCATCGCGGCGAACTCAGTCCTCATTATCTGCTCCGTGTCCTGAATGGCTGCCTCCCTAACACCTTCTTCCACAAGCCGCTGCCTCACCTTCTCTGTGGAAACGGCGACATTGTCCACTGGAGCCATCAACTCGCTGTTAGAGATCCGCGGGAACATGTCTTTCACAGCCTGCAATGCTTCCACCCATTCGTGTCGATCTTCTCGGGTCTCTGCCCTCAAATGCAACCTCTTTGTGCCTGTGAAGATCGAAAACCTCTTATCATCCGATCTGCTTTCGCGGATGCTCGAAACCTGATAATCAATTCGTCAAATTGGATTATAATCAACCACAAATCAAATATAATTCAATTCATCAGAATTTGATCAAATTAAAGACTGTATCTAATCAATTACAAAATCAAACAAAAAAAAAAGGAAAAAACGCTCGTCGATCAACAAGGAAAATGCTGATCGGATTAGAATTCGAATTGACATTGGAATTGATAAAAATTGATTTAAACATATAGAAATGAAAATCGAGAGAGACCGAGAACCTTGAGATGGACTTCGCCGAAGGGCTTGCGGCGGAGCTGGTGAGGAATGCCGTTCTTATGCCTCGAAATTCGCCGCACCGATTCCTCGCCGATGACTTTTGATCCTTTCTCGGTCTCAACCGTAACTACGATCCTGTCGGGACCGTGAATCTTATAATACGACAAAACTCCGTCCTGCAGAACGAACCACCTCGGCCGCCACCCCTTGCCGTAATTCACCCACTTATACAGAATTCCCGACACGCCATTCCCAACGATGTCGTTTATCTTGACGTCGACCGGCTGCTCCCTTCCCGAGGGCGGCCGAGACACAACCTCCGCGGCTGCCGCGGCGGCAGCAGCCGCAGCCGCCGTGGTGCGCTGACTGAGTCGTCCGTAGTCGGCGCTGGAATGGGCGTGGGTGTAGCTATGATTGTGGACACTGCTCGGATCGATTTTAGCGGTGCGGGCGTGGGAGTCGGATCTGGAGCCGAAGGAGGTCATGTGGAGGTCCGGGGAGTGATCGGAGAGCGTGAAGACGCAGCAGAAGGGATGCATATGGAACTAGAGGGAAAGAGTTGGGGGATATCGGGATTGGGAGGGCGTGGGGATACTGACGTGGCGGCGGAGGAGGGCGGCGGTTATGGTTGGGGGTTTCATTTGGATATTTTTGTTGATAATTTTGTATTAGTTTTTGTGTTAATGTGTTGGGAAATGGGATATTGCGGAGAGAGGAAGACGGAGAAAGCGAGTTTGGCGTGAAAGTGGGAGAAACGATTATAAGGAGGAAGAGTTGGGGATTCGGAGGAAGCGACGGTGACGGAGCGGTCAATACAATCAACTCTCTCTCTCTCCTCTCTCCTCTCTCTTTCTCTCTCTAAAATGCCAAAGCTTTTATAAACATGAGGCGGTTGACCACCGTGTCTGTGATGAGCTGTGCCTCGCTCTCTCTGCGGCCTTTTCTCTCTTTCTGATGAGTTGTGTTTGGGTGCGGGGAGGACGCAGGGCTTAAGGTGGGGATGGCCGCCGGCAGCTTCTGAGAGAGCGACACGTGGTGGAAGAGGCGAGTTGGGACGCGCTTGGGAATAACGGTGGTTTTGGGCTGTTTGGTGTGTGGCCACAATGTTAATGGCTTTCATGTCTTTATATCGCGGGAGAGTACTTAATTTCGGTGGCTTTCACGTCTCTATGGCCACAATGTTAGTTTCATAAAGAATTAGTAATAATGTAGTTCAAATTCATATTTGGCAATAATCCAACTTAATACATGTCATTATCACTTATAAGTAAAGAGAAATATCATTATACTGTAGTTTTAAGTGGCATCCACACACTTATTTTTACCTCCCACATATCCCTCTCAATTTTCAGTTGTCAGATCGAGTGAATTGAATAAGTAAATGGACAAAATTAATATTAGAAGTAAAAATAAGTATGCAAATAACACTACTTTTTAATTTATGCTCACTACACTCAAATGATGTTAATATTCACCGCCTATCTATTACAACCCTATTTATGATTTTAGATGCGTATAAATTTTAAAGTTTATGTCTATCTATTACGTATCAAATTTAAACTCATTTAACGATAATAAATATGATGTTCAACCTCACTATCACTTTAAGTAATGAGTAAAAATATTCTCCCCGCTGGACTTTTCTCTTTGGGTGGTGGGGTGGTTTCTTTGGGTACTCTTCTCGCATGTGGGGAAGCTTCTTTTCTTTTCCTGTTTTTTAACCTATGATGTTGTTACTTTTCAATCTAAATCTAATTGCAATTTGCTTATTGTGAAAAAGGGTTACTCTAAAAATAGATGCCAATCTCGAATCTAGGGCAATCCTTTAGTCAAACCCAACCAATTGTGTGTCAAATCCAACAGTAATCCAACAGCTAATCCAATCTGACTAATGCCTTAAACCCATTGGCCGGTTTTGCTTTTCGTTAGATAATACAGTAATCGCTTGAAATAGCATTCATTGATATACTTTTACGTTGTAGTTTGTCACTTAGTTGGATACTATTTTGAGAATTTAAGGTGGGTGTATCCATTGTAATGCCTATTCAATCACAATTATCTAGCCAAATCCAAATAATTGGTTGGTTGTACATTGTATTGTAGCAAGACCTACCAACAAGAAATCCCTTTTTACTTCTCACACACCTCTTATTAATTTATGTCGTTTGATCTTATGCAATTCATCCGATCCGACGGTCGAAAATTAAAAAGGTGTGTGAGAAGTAAAAATGATGTGTAGATATCACACCCCATAATAAAACTAGACATATTCTTCTCTCTGTTCATAACTTCAAACCAAAATACAACCACTTTTTAAATATTCTTTACAACCATATCATACAATGTGAGTTTTACTTGGTCACATATCATGTAAAGGAATGCGATCAAAAAATTTGCACGAGATGACCAAGTAAAACTCACATCATATAAGGTCGTAAAAGTTTTTATAAATTGAAATTTATAAATGGACGTAAATGATTCTCTATTAAATATAACTTTAATTTAGATACTAGTTTTTCACAGATTAATATAGTTACTTCACTAAAAATTAACTGTAAAGACACAATTCTACTGTTTACAACTAATCAAACTCATGTGTTTGATTCCACCCTCCTCTGGATTAATATCGCTTGCATGGAAATCAATATTTTTGGCAAATAGCTGGAATGCCTTCGTTATTATCTCCGAAAATTTTTAAATCTGAAACTTTCTTGACCAAAACCTAACAATTAAGAGAAACGACACAGAAAAAGTAACACTATTAACAACATTAAGGATAGATCGTGCATGCAGATTGAGTGCATACACGAAAAACACATAATATGCATCGATGCCATGGTAAAAACATGCATGCGACCACGAGGCATTGATCAACAGTTGCAAGGTAGGTAGGCAGATAAAAGGGGCAAGTTAAACTTCCATATCCAAAGAAAAGAATAATATATTTCATTCCTAAACCTAATTATTAGATCATTATGTCCCTAATTATGATTGTCTTGTCACTCTTGATTGCCCATTAAATAATTTGATTAGTCTAATCTTTTTGACTTCAATCCTTTTGGGCCACTGGGTATGTAAATTGGTACAACCCTTCGGTTGTCCCTACCCTAAGTCATATGAAGTCAAGACTTTGAAGTCAAATTTACACCCTAAAAAGGCGTGTAAAGATCCATGAGGAATTTGAACCTTGATATATTTTAGACTTTTACATATATGATTATTGTATTCCATCATTACTTTTAACTCTTTCTTTTTGGTGAAAAAATTAAAAAAATAAGGAAGAGATTAGCTACATTCACCACCAATATCAGGACATTAATTGGATATCAAGATCGTCTTTGACATTTTGGAGACCTTGTGTGAATTTAATAAAAAGCCCTCTTTGTTTAAAAATAATATTTCTTTGGACAATATATTCATACGTAATTCAATTAAACTTTGATTTGATTAATAAATTTCTACCTTTCACGAGAAAAAAAAAATTCAATATTCAAACTTAATTGAAATCAACATATCACTCTTATTAATTGAATAATCTCCATTTTTCATGAAATTATGATTTAAGGGTACATCCGTAAACACAGGGAGCACAACTAAAAGAGAGATACATAAATATGATTGTGTTTGTGGAAGAAGGTAGTAGTACACAAGTTTAATCAATGTAATATAGATAAAATCATACTATGATGATTTTTCTTTTCAGTCAAAATTTTTTTATCTAGAAAATTTATACTTATATGTAAGATATAGGAGGATGAAAAATTTTGAGCCCCTTGCCACTGCACCTTTTGCACACCTCCAATGCCGCCTCTGTAAAGCATACCCACAACCTCAAGTCGAAAGTGTTTACGAATGACATTTAACTACCAGTTGGCACCAGTATGAATTTAGGTAGGAATTTACAGATTATGCACCAACGAGAACTGTTGGCAGTGAGGATAGACTTCATACATGAACTTGTAAGATTGAAGCTTTTCTTTTAATACAACGATACCCTAACGAGAATGAAATCTTTTACTATAGAGGAGGGAGACTTGAGTTTGATAGGTCGTACAATGGGTAAGTCACTAACTTGGTATCGAACTCTACACAAATATAATACGTGAGAGCTAGTCCTATGAATCAAAACTAAAATTGTTCACTCACAAGTAAGGAAAAACTCTACAAGTTGATAGGTTGAGGTATTGATAAAATTGACAATATCAGCAACATATCAACGTTCATTAAGGAACTTTAAATTAAGGCAATTCAACAAATGATTTGTGCTACAGGTGATTGTGAGTTTACTATTAGCTCGTTTGGATGTGCTTTTAAAATGACTAAAAGTACTTTTGGTGAAAATATTTTTAGAACTAATATTTGGTAAAAATGCAAATAAATTCTGTAAAAGCACTTAAAATGCTTCCTAGAAGAAACACATAAATGATGCTTCTTGCAGAAAACACTTCAAGTGCTTTTAGAACTCAAAAATATTTAAAAAAAAAAAAAAACTTTTAATCATTTTAAAAACATATCTAAACGAGTACTAAAAGGTTCCATATCAATGCCTAATTTCGGATCGCACTAAGGGAATATACCAATATATAGCTAATGACAAATGTTTAAGTTGGAAGTTGGAATCAACGACAAGGAGAATTTCGAATCACATTTGGATAACCTTACGTCCCTATTCACTTTTATAATTAAAATTTTAGCCAGTGCTCTCTATTAGTTAATCAAATTTGACAGAGATCTGCCACTTACTATTTGGTCTAATGATATTATTTTTCACTTATAAGTGAGAGATTTTAGGTTCGATTCTTGAGTAAAGATATATTTGAACCATATTATTGCTAGCCTATTGTGAGGGTTAACTCATCCTATTCCATTTAGTGTAGATAATATCGCTTATCAAAAAAAAAAATTGACAAAGATCTACATGAAAAATAAAGCACTATGATAAAAATATTTGCCACCTAGTATAAGATCTAGTGACATTCTTCTTAATTAAGCGGTTTTAGATTTGATTTTCGCCAAATACGAATTTGAACCATAATATTGATAATTTAGTATGAGATCAAACTCACCTCTTATCTTTTAATGTAAATAATATTGTTTGTTAAAAAAAATATCTCAGTAATTTTGGAGGGGCTGCCTGGAACGCCTGTGGGCCCCAATAAAAACTTGGATCGGCCAAAAGACAGAAAGATATAAAACGGGAGAGAGAGGAGCGTGTACCGAAACGCAGAGGATCACGGAGAAGAACGGTATTTGGTTTTGAACGTAAAATCCAGTCACGGGGGAAGAGGCTGACGTCGATTACACGCGGAGGTCGTCCTTGTGAACAGAGAAGTAATCTTCAACCGAACTACTGAACATACGATGTACTTTTGTGTCGGGAACGTACAGTGGTTCCAGACGACAAGGGACAAGACAAACTTGTGCTTCTCTCTGTTTGGCTGCCAGCGGCACAGTACTCACCTCTTTACCATTTTTTATTTATTTTTAATTTGGGTTTTTCTTACACACAATTTTTTTTATGTTTTTTCGAACACATCAGTTTCAATTTTTATGTTTCGAACTCATTAATTTTGTTGCTCATCTTTCGCATCATCAATTTTGTTATTGTCCTCCAACCCGGACTTGGATCCTCTCATGAGCTCAAGGAGAGGATCCTCCTGACCAAATGACTTGGGCCGTTGAATGAATATTCAACGGCTACAAACAGGAAGTCCTTTTAAAATTATAATAATTATAACTATTAGATTTTCATCTAATGACTCAAGTCATTTGATCATGAGGATCCTCTCCTTGGGCTCAGGAGAGGATCCAAATCCCTCCAACCCTGTTAAAAGCTTATTAATGTGTTAATGTGT